TCACTCACATCCATAAGGCACCATCACAATTTTTGGGACTGAAATGGGGAGAATGGCTTTGTTATGTCATCATAAATTGCAGCATTTTAAAGGTTATGTTTTTAGTATTAAATTTACCCATTTGGTTCTGCATTTTGCAGATTTTTTTCAGGCAGCATTCTCCACCTATTGGTATAATTATTAATGATTAAAACATATATGGCCAGCAAAGCTTGAAAATGGAATGCCTTTTTATCAACTTTAACTTACGTGACTTATTAGGATCTAAAACAAATCCAATTGTGAAAAACGTAGTTATTATTACAGTTAATAGGCAAAACGTGGAACTTTTTCTTTTCTATTCTTTGATCTTAATTACGCCAGATGGATGACTGCTCTTAATTAACAGATAAATGGAGTTGACAATTACCCTATCCCCTTATTCCTCAATCGGTTGAGAGCATTCAAAGCGTACAAATTTCACAACTCACCGCCACTGTAATACTCCATATCACAATAGCTATTGCACTTGCACCGTGGCTCCATGTCCATCCCGTAGCCCCTACCACTGCTAACTATTTGTGCAAAAATAGGGTAATTCCATCATAATCAAATGAAATAAGCGCATTTGTATTACCTGATTCAATCAATTTTAAGCTTACCATTTAACTGGACGTTCGATTGACACGAGGCCTCTGAAAAGGAGATTGGGATGTGTGCTTGTAATGCTTTTTGAGGAGGGAAATATCTTCTAGCAAAGCAGTACTTACGTTGGCATACGCCTTTTCGAAGTTTTGGCCAGGCAAATTTTTTCTTCCGTTGATTGGAAACTATGACTAAAAGTTGAAGTCAAATTACTTACTCCACTTTCTTCTTAAATCTATCTGATAATTAAAATCAGACAAATAAAGCATATACGTTTATACTCTGTTAGAAAATCTACATAGGTTCAACCAATGAGAATGCAACGCCTACCGGTGTCCGAATTCGGTGGGCCAAATGTTAGCTGCGGTACTAAATAATGTGCATTATGGATATCGGTTTCCATGGCTGTATGCGGGTTGATTGCAGATTGGGTTCCCACATTTGGAGGTGCATTATTGAATTCTGTGGAAAAAGCAACGATCACAATGAGTCCGGTCCCCGAAGAAAAGGTCAAAGAGAAAGGGCTAGAACATACTTGGCATTTGGTTGATAAGCTCGATGAGTTGATTTAGCTTGTCACCATCAATCGACTCATTAGTTGGAGCTGGAATCGTATAAAATGTTGCTTTTATCCATAAATTTTTAGTTTTAGAGGAAATAAACTCGTTTCAAGGATTGTATTATGCTCTCTTAGGGGTATTTCAAAGTTATTTGAGTAGGAAAAAATCATAGTTTCAATATTAATTCTCGCTGCTAATTTTTTTATGGGTTATTTTAACAACGGAGCATAGTGCGAATTACTACGTTTCTCACCTTTTCCTGAAGCCATTTCATTCGAGTAATCCTTTTTCGGCATGGGAGGATAAATTGCGGATGGACGGCCGCCCCCAGATCCATTATCTACAGGAATGAGAATAAGCCATTCTTTAATTTCAAACAGTTTATAATCATTTTCCACTCCAATCGTAAAGATTCTGGTCAGTCCCTGCTTACATTATTCTACTACTCTGATTTACTTATTATTATAGACAGATCTAGGTATAAAGCTCAGAACAATTAAAAAGGGAATAAAGTTTGTAAATTGGGGAATGATTGGATCTGATCGCATACGGGAGCATTAAGAATTATTTCACTTTCCAGTTTTATGAAAGTGGTGGTTACTTACTGTCACCATTTGTATTTCCTTGCTGAAGGTTGTAGCTATAATCCCTTGGTGGCATTTCACGGTAGCCAGGCGAGGCAGGGTTGGAATAGGAACCTGAAACCATTTTAAAAACAGTGTATCTGATATAATTTCTTCTGCTCTGACCAGTTAGGTAACTTTCCAGTCATTCACATACCACTCTTATTTACAATAGATATCGGTTTGGAGTTACCAAATGAGTCTACTTGCCTTTAAACAAGGGATTTTCTGTCAATTTTCCAAATCTCGTTGAATTAATTATCCACTTTAGGCACTATACATAGTGGCTAGACTTATTACCATAATAATATAAGATATAGGCTGGAGCATGCTGATTTAATCGTCTGTGAAGTATAAAGGAAATTTACCATATTTTCCTTGGTTCTTGCGTGGTATTTCGACTGAGGAATCCCTCTCTGGCATTTCATGGTAGTTATGGCCATAGAAAGCGTTTCCCATTCCGGAGTCTGAAAAAAACAGTCAAGAGGATTTTTGGGGGCATGATTGAATAACACATTACATTCAAAATTCGCAAACTTACCATTTTCAAAGGTTGTTTGATCCATTTCTGTACTTTCGATAATTTCGTGGAAGATGATGAAACTCAAGGTCTGATTATTTCCTTACCGGCATATTCTCGCCCTTTATATACGCCTACTAGGAGGAAGTACAGTTTTAAAGTACCTCTTGCCGCTATTTCCCTTTGTCTCACTAAGCCCCCATTTTGGATAGAAAGTGACTAATAGTCCGCTTGAGGACAATGACAATCGAAAGTTCGACACCACAATCCGAAAGAATAAGAAGTCAGAAGCTTTTGAGGCAATAAGTACATATTTTAGGAAAGATGTGTCATCAAAACCTCAAGTAGCTTGAAAAATTCGGTTCAATAAGTATTTCAGTTACCATCGTAACAATTACTGACAGGCAGTAGATAAGCAATTTTAATCTCTGTAAAAGAAGGTATGGATATGTGTGGCTGATTTTTGGCCAACACTTGATCAAGACCACTCCGATAGCTCGACTTACGTGCCACCGTCCTCAGTCTCCATTCAGGCGATTAAGTGCGATTGCTACCTCTCGGTCTGCATGCGTAAGGAACAACAGGCTAAACTGGGTTTTGACCAAATGAGATTGGTGATTGGTGATTTTGGACAGTGTTGTTGGAAGTCTCCGGGTAAAAGTATACAAACCTCACCATTTGACCTCAGTAGACTCTATTTGAAAATGTCAACAAATCGCTCCGCCTACCGATCCCAACGAGGCTAATGCAATGCGGAGAAAACATGAGTAAGTTACTTAACAACAATTCAAGGAGTACTTGTGAAGTGATATTTGTAATCAACATTTCTGAGAACCTATGTCATTGATGGGAGATACTTCAAAAGAGCAACTACCAGAAGGAGATAAGGGACCTCATAAACAGGTTTGTCAAAATCGATATAAGGTCGGCCTATGGTCCCTGAGACTGAAGCTATGATACCAGATGAGCGTTTACGGAGTTTTTTTGGCTTTTCGGCATTTTTAAAATCGTCTGACAAAGTCAACATCATCTTTGTCTAGTAATCCCGATAAAACTTCTGACCATGAACTTCATGTGTCAAACATTAGAGTGTCCGGCTTAAGATTAGCAAAGTATCATCAGAGGCAGTAAATTGGGCAGCACATCGCAATCACAAAACATTGACCAGCTCTTGTTGGTACAAAATGGTTTGCGTCGGTGAACATTGGTTTGGGGTCATCGCCAAGCAAGCGAAGTGACCACTTTGCCCTTACAAAGTGTACTACTGCTATTGAAACTCAGCAGCGTTCGCCGGCAATATTTTGGTGCAATTAGTAAGGTGGTAAACTTCCAAGACCATTTTGAAATTTGTCAGAGACTGTTTATGTATACATCGAAGGATTTTACCTTCGGCTAGTGCTAGTTTGTATCATGTCTAGGCCTAGCCGTTCGAATCAGCCCAGACCTATTAGTTTGGGCTTAAAAATGATGAGGCAGGGTATTCCAACAAATGATGTACTGCAAAGGTATGCACAGTAGTAGCCTGTTTGAAGAGTTCCATTTGACCAATTCAGGCACCTTTGGTGGTTCAAGCTCTGTGATGTATAGGTGGTTTGACATTCGGTGCCATAACTTCTCCGAAGGGAGTGAAGTCCGAGGCAGCGTCAAGCTGTAGCCGTACTGGACAGTTATTGAGTCAGATAATGGTGTACTTCCGATGACTAAGTGCAGTAGCTTACAAAAGGGGATAGCTGAGCAGGTGGTCACCCTTCCTTGTCCTGTTGGAGCTGGGATAGGAGGTGGATGGGCTTGGCTCTAACCAATCATTCTTATAGCTAACCTTGTCACAATGAAGATATCATTGTTTAGTTGCAGCAATATCAACCAAGAGAGGAAAAGGTCTTCCTGGTCTTGGCGTCAGAAAGGAGACAGTAGTTTAAGTTGGTTGAATTTGTGTACGGTATATTCTTCAGAACTGATAAGGTTTTCAGACTAGACCAGTGTTTTTATGCTGTGGGTTGATGAAATTATGGCACACATTAACAATTTCAGTAAATGTTTTGTTCTAATCTGATGCCATTCGATTTAGCGAAAATGCTCGAATATCTGTGATTTTTGGTGACTGGAGGCTGCAGATAAAGATTAGCGACTTAATCTAATCGTTGCTTAGAGTCTCCGACTAGGAACGTTCGTATTGACATTTATAGTTTCAACCTATGCAAAGAAATAGTTCCTCACATTCGTAACCAATTTTAGGTAATCATATTGCCTTCTGAAGTGCAATGACCGGTCACCAAAGTGCCGTCTTAAAGGTTCTCTTGTTTCATTAGTCATGCAGTCTTGCAAATTCTGCTGTAAGATCGGGTCGCAAAGTTGATCGAGCTCCGCTGGTGTAAACTTATAAAGTGGAAGTTATACCTTCTACCCATCATTTAGTGAAATGAGAATGAGTTTGAATAAGCCTTCTTACTGTCTGACTCCCTAGTTAAACATTACATTTTCCTCTGGGTCACCAGTGAACTTTCACCATGCTGTTGACGACGCTATTGGTTGTCGGTGCAGCTATCACGGCTGACCTAGTGGGTGGGAGTAAAATCTGCGTCTGAGCTAATCTTCACACCAGTTTCAAATGCTTCTCGAGCAGGCGTAAGAGTCTCGATAGATCCAAAACAGAGTGCCTCAGCGTCAAGCCTTGTATCCTCGAGATGTATCACAGTGATAAAGAAAGCATCACCCTATGTATAGATCAGATCGCTGCCCATCCATGCGACTGTTCTTGACCTCCATTCGGAAGCCTCGGGCTTTGGCCATGGTCACCGCGCATGTGAACCTTTGCCACCACTGAATATGCTATCGTGTGTCCTAAAACATTTTCCACTCAGTTGATGTAAGCTGCTAATGTGATGACCTAATTTACCAAGAGGGTTTGAATGTTTCCCCTGCACTACTTGTTTTATTCGTTCATTTAAGCGAATCTTCAGTTGCGATTGTTTTCAAAGCATAATTACATTATACACAGCTTATCAAAAGTGAGGTAGGACCTTGGAATTCTCATGTCATGGTTTAAAAATGCTTGGCATCAGTTATCTTACTATCCACCAGAAATAAGCATGTAAAGCATCGCTTTTAATCACCCCTATAATTCCTCATTTCGGTAGGACTTATAAAATCAAAACATAAAGGGACGAAAATTTCCCACTTAAAGTGGCAACACGTGGGTGACACAGATACTTCACACTAAGTAGTCAAGTTTCCTTCTGAGGTGAACAGCTCTTCGTATATTCCTGTTGATCTATGTTTCAGATAAGTCTTAAGCATGATTTCCGAGAATCATGATTAGTTTCTACTATAGCATGAACAGATTAAATGTTAGGAACAAAAGTAGGTGGAATGGCCAACTGTAGATGATATAATGCTGAAAAGAGCAGTAAGTAAGATGTTATTATTCTTTTTTTTTCAAAAAATTAGTAAACATGACAACAATAAACCGCTCAAAGCTTATCTTCCCTTATAGCTAAAAAAAGAAATAGCCAATAACACACGGCCAGCTACTCAGCTTTAACAAAATTCACAAGGATTTGGAACGAATTGAAATTTTTCTGCATAAAGCGACTCTTAAGACGGTACTTTGAAGCTTGTTATGAAGGCTAGACGAAAATTGTTAAATAGAAAATGGATTGCGATAGTGGCTTATTTTGAAAAGAAAACTCGTGAAAAGAGGTTTACTGAAGTGTCCCGTGTTGAGGTCATGCTATGAACGTAGACATTTTAACCTTTGTTTATGGATGGATTTAAGATGACGATAATCCACTTCAAA